CCCAGCCGCAGCGGAGGCCGAGGGACCCCGGCGGGGTCCAGCTCCTACGTACGTTTCCCGCCACTCTTCAGCAAATTTCCGAGGCTGACGGAGGCGGTGCCCAGCAGCTCGTTCCTCAGGGTATGGCAGCTCCACACCTTCAGGTCCAAGTGGCTCTGAGCCGTGACGTTCCTGCAGAGACCAGAGAAGGAGGCCATCGCTGTGGGAGCCGGCAGTGCCAGCCCTGCCAAAGCCAGGGAGCAGAGGGAGGCAGGCGAGGCTGTGGGGCAATGGGAGACCCTCCTCACAGCATCCTTGTCTGGGGGGCAAAGATCTCCGACATCCGAGCGGCCCCAGCTGACGGCACCGTGGGCTGCACCGGGGGACATGGGGCCAGCCCTAGCACCAGCCCCGCACCAGGGTCACGGAGACTTACAGGATGAGGATCTCGTTCCACAGCAGCTCAGAGCTCCCGATCTGCTTCCCCGTCTTCTTGGTCTCGCTGGGCAGCCCGTCGCCCGCCACCTCCACGTAGCAGTTCATCCGCGACGGGCGGCTGTGCACCTTGGGCTTCACGGACACAACTGGGCAGGGGGGACAGGCATAGGGTCAGGCAGCCGCAGGGGAGACCCTGTCCCCTGCCCTCCCCACACACCCCCCATCCCTGCCAGCTCGGGGTGCCATGACTTGCTGCAGAGTCAAACTGCTTTTGGGAGAGGGGGAGCGGGGAGCGATTCTCCTGATGGCAGCAAGGGTCGGATCCAGGTGCTCCTGTCACCAGTCCCTGACCACTGCCTGTCCCCAGCTTCACCCGCACCTTGGCCCCACACCTGAAGACTGCAGGAGTGTCACGGTCCCCACAGACACCACCCTACCCCAGGGCTTGTGGGAAAGGCGGGGGCAAGGGGGCTCTGTGGGAGCTGCTGGGAAGAGGCACCCACCAGGCAAGGCTCGGCCACCCCCCGGGCTAGTGCTGCCCTGCGCAGGGGCTGCGGGGCAGAGACGGGGACACAGCTCCAGGGGATGCAGCTCCAGGGGACGCAGCTCCAGGCATCGGGAGCCATCTCGCGGCCACGGGAGCACCAACGCTGCCCTGGCAGGGCCACGGAGCCACGTCCCGATCGATGGCAGCCGGGGAGAGAAGGCGGCGCAGCCCAGCCAATGGCCGCTCCGCTTCCCTGGGCGCCCATGGGATGCAGGGCAATGCTGGCCATCCCCAGTCCCTGCTCCCCCCCTGCCCCGAGAAGGTCTCCCAGCCTAGGGTGCAGGCAGAGCGCACACTGGGACCAGAAGCACCCGAAATCCACGTTCCCCGTGGCAGGACTCCCGGCCCTACCTCTGGTGAGACGGCGGGACCCACCTTTCACAGAGAGCTGGGATTTCTCGCAGGGCGGCCCGGTCCTGGCCCTGCTGGAGCTCGCAGCGGCCATGGCATCACCCCTGGCTGGAAGCAGACAGAGAGGAGAGACCTCAGCACCGCTCCCACCACCCAGAGGAAGCCGCGGCTGCACCGGGGTCCCAGGTCAGCCCCTCTGCGCCCAAACGCAGCCCAGCCATTACTGCAAGTGACCCACACGGCAGGGAGACTCAGCAATGGACAGGCACACGCCTGGTAAACACAGGTTCCCCCTCGCTCCTGACAAACCAGCCCTGCACCGCGGGCAATGGCAACGCTGCACCCTAGGGAGAGAAAGCCCCCTTCAACGTCACCGCCACAGCCTGAAGAGATCCAAGCCAAGCGGGGCAGCGCTCAGCCCTCTGGACACCCCATTTGGGCGGCTGCAGGTCACCCTGACCCAAAGGTGGCTGCCAATCACAGCCAGCACGAGGACAGAGCAGCCTCCAAAGCCTTCAGCAGATACGCTGTCTCACGCCCTGCTCTGTGCTGCTGAGCAACGTCGGCTCAGGAGCAGTCTGCGTGGCCACCGCACAAGGGGTCCCTCAGAAAGGACGAGGCAGTGACACCGGCAGAATAGTGGAAGGTCCGGTCACAGTATGGGGAAGCAGCTGCATCCCTCACAGACAGCCCAGGTCTCTTCCTAGCAGCAAAATCCCACAGAAAAATCAGTCCTATCTACTCTAACACACTGTGGAGGGGACAGGGACCACAGCTGCTCTGAACACAGAAAAGGATCACGCTGCAGAGCAGGCTACAAGCCCAGACCTCCACTTCCCACAACTTCCTCGCTCTCCGGCGCCACGTCACTGTCACCGCAGGCACAGCGCTTCCCCCTGCCCCTTCTGCCGCAGCTTTCCCCTGGAGTCACCCACCGGGGAAAAAGGAGCGGGCAGGAAGGACACAAGCTGTAACACCCGGGGACGCTGGCAGAACACGTGGCTGGGCACCTCTGCCGAAACAACTGACCACAAAGTAGGAAGATGAGGTCACGTATCACGCAGAAGCACGAGGTGCTCGGTCTGGGACCGCAGAGTCAGCTATCGACTCACACTGTCCTCCTAAGCCTGCAGGCAGCAGTCCTCCTCTCCACACTTCCCAGGCAGAGAAGCTGGAGAGGATGCGCCCAGTGCGGGTGCCTGCGGTGGGTGTCAAGGTCACGGACCAGAGGGTCCCCGCCTGCACAAGCCCCCGACACAGCAAGGTAGACAGAGGCATCTGCTGCCCACCCTGGGCAGGAGCAAAGAGGAGCCTCAATCCTGTTGCTCGGGGCAGCAGCAAGGGCTTAGACAAGGTCAAACCTGATCCCCCTCCTAAGCCACTAAAGCCAAGAGCCCCCCTCCTACCTGGCCCTGGACCGGAGTGCCTGTCAACCTCTCCCTCCCCGGATCAGGGCAACAGGGGTATGAAAAGGGGAGAAGAGCATCTCCAGCCTCTGCCACTTCCCTCCTCATGCAGGAGTCTCTCTCTCTCTCTTCCCCACCACCCTCTCCCCACCCCCTTGTTAGACCTTACCAACCACCATCCCAAAGCCAGGTTCCTTTCTAGATCCCCTCACGTGAACTAGGGTCTCTGCTCTCCATCTTCTTCTCCATGCCAGTCCTGTGCGACCTCACCCCCACCAGCATGGCAAATCAACCTGGCACCCCATGCTCAGCCGAGACCTGGCCGGTGCCCCGTACAATCCCCACCTCTACCTGGAAAACCTCGTCTGGTACCAGGCTTGCCGCTGTCTCGGCTCTGTCAGACAGTGGCCGGGGGCTCGCTGACACGTGCCGATCTCCTCCCCCTCACAAGTGGGGGAGAGCTGACTGATGGAGGGAGGTCTTTCACAAGACTAATTGCACTTGCTATTACTACAGTTACTCCTACTCCAATTATGCTGGCCCACAGATCATGCTGGCCTTCCCTTAGGATATTGTTATTCCTCGTGTTTGTTGTGACTCCCCAGCTCCGCATCACCACTTATTTCATTAGTGCCATTAAGCAGGCCCACAGATTAAAACAGCCAGGTGCACGTGCCCCTCCTAAGCAGCACCTCCTGCGCCAGCCTGTGACCAGCCCCTGGGCTAGACCAACCAGCAAACTCATCCTTCAGGGCCTTTCTTATGCTGACGTTAGCGACCTGCACCTCAAAGTTATTGTGGTAAGACCCACAGCTCACTCCACCGCAGCGGGGACTCTGGATCCCTGGTCCTCCCTCACAGCCACTGGCGCTGCTTTTGCTCTTCTCCAGCCGTCCCCCACGGTGATGCCAGCCCCACCAGCTCTGCCGCTCTCTGCCAGCTCCGCCAGAGAAGTCCACTTGGGGTTCGTTAATCACTGAGTGTTACCTGTTACAGACTTGTTTCCACTTCCCAGCCCTCGCTCCGCACACACGTCCCCCCTCGCAGCCCTGCCACTCTCCCCCATTCCCGCTGTACCGCAGCGCTGGGGCGCAGACCAGACCTGTCGTGACGTGCCCGCCCTGCGCTCGCAGGCTCGCCTGAGCATCCCACGACAGAAGAGGACCCCGGGGCCAGACCGGCTGCCAGTTTCCTCACTGCACCCTCCCACATAAGGCAACGACAGAGACCTGTCCACTTGGGCTGCCTCTATCCTTTCCTCTTTTAAATCTTGACTCCTTTTCCCAGTTTCTCTTCTCCTGATTCTACACCATTTCACTACTGCTTACTTTAACGCCCCTAGCCGCATCAAATCCCTCTCAACTATCAGAAAACCCCTCCGTGCTCAGTGCCAAACCCCAGGCGCAGCTTTCCTCTCCGATCCCCTTCTCTCTCCCCTCCCGCACCCTCCGTCTGCTGCTCGCACCCTTTTGCCCCGTCGGCTTGTGACCGGTGCGGGTCCGGGGCGCTCCCTCACCGACACGCACAGGCGCAGAGCTCTCCCTCTTTCGAAGCTCAAGGCCTACCCTCCCCTCCCCAGCTTCCCCGGGGGGGGGTCCCGTTACCGACGACCCGGCCTCGCCTCCCGGGGAAGCGGGCAGCCCGGCCGCCTCCCCGCTAACGCAAGGCGGCGCAGCCGGGGCAGCGGTCCCGGGAGCCGGGCACCCACACCCACCGCCGCCACCGGGACCGCACCGCGTCTTGCCCCGCAGCCGGTTCGCCCCGCACAGAACCGGGCCGGGCAGCGACGGCCGCCGGGGAGGGCGAGAGAGGGGACAGAGCGGCACCGCCACGGCCGGGCTCCGCGGGCCGCGACCGTCGCCCCGGGGACACCGCGAAGGGGAGGCGGC